TATATATACATATATACATATATATATATATATATATATATATATACAAATATACAATACATACATACATATACAAATACGTTCGTCTTTTATGAGCAGTCAAAATCAAAAGGACCATTTTCAATTCAATGTTGAATAACTTGATGAAAAAAAATCGTACAATGTTCATCAAAAAAGCAAATTAAAGGTTCACGCTTTCGAAAGCTGTAAACAATATTTGTGCCCGACTTCTCACTTACTGCATAATTTTACAAAGTTCACAAAAAATTTTGAAACTTTATGAATTATGTTTGTAATCGTGTAGCTCCATAAAAATCAGTTATATCGTTATTTAAAGAAAAGTAGAGATTTCCAGCTATAAAATACTTTTCCGTACATTTTATTCTGACCATGTAAGTCGAAGTTACACTCATCTAAAGTTTATTCATTTTTCGAAGACGTGAGAAGTGGCAGAATTCAATTTCTGCGGGTAATGTATTATAACATGTAAAAATGCTCACTGCTGCTGCCAGAGGTATATTTTCTTCTTTATTAATTTTTTCTAAAATGCATTTTCTAAAAAGTTTTTACTTTAAATACGAAGCGCCACTACGCAGAAATGATAATTGCCGCCGAGGCAATATTTTTCGCAATAAGTTTATTACAATAATTTTTTAAGATTAAATTTGGAAAATTTGGGGGAATTATTAATATTTCAGATTGATTACGTTAAAAATTCGACAATCATATCATTATTACACGCAATTATTTCTGAAATTAATTCATTTATATGAATATATATATATATAATATATAAATACATATATATATATATATATATATACAATATAATAGTTCAACATCTTAACATTCAGACCGTAGTGGCGCTTCGTTCGCTATTTAAAGTAATGATTATTTTAATATTATTTTTTCTGAAAATATTTCGAGATATTCTTGGAATACTATTTTAGGATTTTAGAAACATTTTACAAATATTTTAAAAATATTTAACATTAACTGAACATTGATCTAAATTAAAGATTCCGTAAACGATATTATATTATTAGTTAAAGTTGTATTACGAGAGATAACCATAAGAAATATAAATAAAAAGAAAAAGATATAAATAAAAAGAAAAAAGAAAGAAATTTGCATTTACCCGATAGGTCTCTCTGGCTGATTTTGTTGATCTTCTATTCGAGTTTTGATGTATTTAGGCGATTGCTGATACTGAAATGATGAGAGAAGCGATGGCAGTCTTATTTGTTGTTGTTGCTGCCTTGATCGCGTGTTTCTAAGATCCTGATTATACATATTATAAAAAGTATTTTGTGCCGAAAAGGACATGTGTTCCATATAAACCTTATGATTCTTCTGCGTAGATTGACTACGTTGATGTTGATGATACTTGATCGGTGGAGTATAAGGCTCGTTACGAAAGTTTTCTTGTTCATCGTAACTGATCGTAGACCCCGATGGTAACATGCTGTTCAAACGAAGACTATGAGTAGTCGTGTAGCCCTCAGTTGAGCCCGCGTAAAGAAACGGTGCCATCGTAATTGACTGATATGGCAAACTAAAATTCACCAACGCCATTTCTCTTGCATTCGAAAAGATTCTCCCAAGCACACTTTGGAATCTAAATTTCTCTTTCACGTTCTTATGAACGGTAAATTTCTTTTGGATGACCTCGGTGATACCTTGGGCGATAGTTAACTTGATTTGGAGTAAGATCAGATACGTATCCTTATCGCATAGATCATAATCGAATTATTGACAATTTTACAAGGTAGCATCAAATTCCAAGAATCTTTGAAGTAATCGAAATTGTGCAGAGTAAAAACACTCTCATCATCGCGATCATATTAAACGTTTTTGCTTCCTGATTGCGTCAGTCGTTTCACATTCACTACATTTAAATTAGTTTATAGTTGAGTGAGTTCAACATTTTTCTTTTTTAGTCTTTAATGCTGATGTTGCTGCATAATAAATCGAAGAAAAAATTTGGATTGACTAATCAAGACTATTGTTTTCCTTTTACGTTTCTCAAGAACACATATTCGAAGTTGAACTGAAAATTGAAAAAAATCATAATTGTATCAAAAATGAAGAATCACACGAATAAAGTATTAGATAAAACTTTCCCATTACACGCCCAGCCCTAAATGACCTCTGAATGATCTTAAGAAGGTCAAGATCATTGACATTTTCCGTCGCTCGTTATTCATTAAAAAGTTATAAATGAAAATGTTTTTATGAATAGAACACTCTTAACATAACATACATAATTTCCTGCTTTGAAAATAAAAAATCTCTACTTTAAAATAGACTTCCTGCTTTAAAAACAAAAAAAATCTCTGCTTTAAAATTGATTTCCTGCTTTAAAAACAAGAATTCTCTGCTTTAAAATAGATTTCCTGCTTTAAAAATAAAAATTCTTTGCTTTCAAATACCAGATATGTAAATATGAAACCGGAATTTTTATAGAAAATACTTGTTTATTGCATGAAAATGATAAAAAATATTTTATTCGAAGAATTGCCCATTGGTAGCTATACATTTTTTCCACATGTTTGACAATTTGTGGATGCCACGCCAAAAAAATTGTTGCTCTTTTGAGCCAAACTAGTCATCTAGCCATTTTCATACATCTTCGTAAGAAACGAAGCGCTGCTGAACAAGTGCGTGTCCCATCGATGCAAATAAGTGATAATCGAACGGAGCCCGATTGTCAAGTCTGGTGAGTAAGCCGCATGCGAAAGTATTTTCCAATCAAATGCCTCAATCGTTTCCTTGACTAGTTTTGCTGTGTGTGATGATGCATTATTATGAAGCAAAATCACTTTGTGTTGCCTTTTTTGATATTCCGATCGTTTCTCACACAAAGCTTGATTCAAATTGATCATTTGTTGTAGCGTTCAGTATTAACGATTTCACCAGATTTTAGCAACTCATAATAGATCACACCTTTTTGATCCCAAACACAAAGCATTGTCTTCCGTCCATAGCGATTTGGCCTTGCAGTCGATGTCGATGGTTCGCCTAAAGTTACCCATGATCTTTTATGCTTAGAATTCTCAAAATATATCCACTTTTCATCGCCAGTCACAATTCGATGGAGAAATGACTTTCTTTTGTACCTGGCGAGCAACATTTCGCAAGTGGTTTTTCCTGGTGTCTTTCATTCAGTTCATGTGAAATCCATTTTTCTATCTTCTTCTCTTTCCCATGGATTTTCAAACGTATGGAGACGGCTTCTCGTATCACATTCAATTGATCTGTGAGATGTTGTTGAGTTTGAGCGTCATCCTCATCCAACAATTCTTGCAATTCGCTATTTTCAAACTTTTTCGGTGATTTTTCACGTTCTTCGTTTCTCACGTCAAAATCGCCACTTTTGAATTTTTTAAATCACTCAAAGCACTGTGATTTACCAAGAGCATGCTCACCGTAAGCTTCGACAAGCATTCGATGCGATTCTGCAGCAGTTTTCTTCCAATGGTAACAGAAAATCGATGCTGTCCACAAATCGTAGTTTCCAGGCACAAAATTCGACATGTTCAACGCTATTACAAACTATACTGTTGTATGAAACTTGTATTATTGGGAGTTGAAAAATCTTTATCAGATGTCTGAACAAAGAAATGGCGTCAATGGCGCCGTCTGACGGCAATTACATTGACAGCTATGGCCATGTATTGATAAATTCCGGTTTCATATTTACATACCTGGTAGATTTCTTGCTGTAAAAACAAAAATTATTTGTAAACAATAAAAACAACTGTTTTTAAAGCAGGAAGTCTATTTTCAAGGTCAAGATCAAGATTATTCGGAGGGAATTTGGAGCTGGTTGTGTAAAGAGAAAGTTTTACCAAGTATTATTTTCATTCATAATAAAATTATATCATTATCAATCCTAATTGTAGGTATCACCATTAAAGAAAGTGAGTAAAGTAGTATATTGGAATTATAAAGAAAAATAGATACATACATCGTAATAAATAAATCAATATGTCAAGGCATTTTTTTAACGCAATTACAGTTAACTTAAAAAATAAAATAAAATTCGTTTTTTAATTACATACGGCTACACATGGCTACAAAATTCATCAAACATTTCGACTTACAAAGTCAACGAATTTACATTGTAATACATAATAAAATTGTTGCTCTAACCTAATTTTACATAATTATTCCAGCGTTAGGATATTAAAGATCAAAATAGGTATTCAGTCAATAGTTTAGAAGAATAAGTGTTAAATTGTATAAGTGTTTTATTTCGTTGTATTCTTCGATTGTTATCGAAGAATTCAGTTCAATCCATAATTTAATAAAAAATAATAAATGATAGTCCGATCGAGGATTTCTTCAATGACTATCTTACTGTATTCTGTATAATTAAATGTCAATTTATAATTAAATAATTAATGTAATTAATTTAATAATGATGAGAAGTTATATTCACACTTACATTAATTTATATATATAATAGAATTAAAATTTAGTCTATTAAAATTTAGTCTTCCGCACTGTCATAATAAGATACGCAATAAAGGAATTTATCAAAGATATTGAAAATTACTTGCTTAGAAATAACATTGACTAAAATAATATTTAACTAAAATTAGGAATATCGCTATCCCTGAATTTCATCGCTTTCTCCACAATAATTTCACATTTGAGAATCTCTGAAATGAAAATTAATAAAATTTTAAAAGCCCATTGGAATGGGCTTAAGAGTTACTGTGCTTTGTGATTGTAAAGAAGTAATGGTTACCACATTGTCTTTGTCGGCACGTGTGGAAACCACTTCTTCATTCTCTTTACATCATTGTGTCATATATTAATCATTTTATTAATTTTCATTTAAGAGATTCTCAGTAGCAGTAATGAATTAAAGAGTGGACGTAGAAATCGATTAATCAGTTGATAATAGTTGATTATTTTTCTCACATTCAATTATGATTGATTAATTTCTACGTCTACTCCTTAATCCACTATTGTTACTGCCCATTGTAGAATGGGCTTTAAACGACACTGACACATATCGGTAGTTAAGAAAAAATCCAACATTAACGATAGAAAGTTATCTAAACAAAATGTTAAAAAATTGGCATAAGAAAGATAAAAAAAATTGATAAAAATTCAGATTAGGGAAGGGACATCCCTCTTGACATATATCAAGGTATGACTCTGAGTGAGTTCCAATAGGTTTTAATCATCGATCGCCTTTTATTAACAAAAAAAGTTTTGCTACAATATAAAACAAAAATTCCTCACTTTAAAATAAATTTCCTGCTTTAGTTGTTATTATTAAAGTTGTTATTATTAAATTATGAGGCCAAAAAAGTTCTGCTACATAAAACATTCCCTGCTTTAAAATAAAAAAAGAACAAAAGTCGCTTCGCATAAAAAAGGATGTAGAGTTTACATAGGAAAATATGTACCTTTAATTTAAAAAAGAAATATTCAATGTATATATGAAATAATAATAAATAAGAATAAGCGACTTTACTTTTTTTATTTTAAAGTAAAGAATTTTTGTTTTATGCAGCAAAACTATTTTTTGACTTATTATTAACAATATTAACAATTTTTTAAAGCAGAAAATTTATTTTAAAACTGAGAATTTTTATTTTATTAAGCAGAATTTTTTTTGCTACACTATTAATAATTTTTTAAAGCAATTTTTGTTTTATATGGGAGAACTTTTTTTGTTAACAACTTCTTAACGAAAGGCGACCGATGACTAAAACCTGTTGGAGGTCACTCAGGATCATGATATGTTAACAATATATATCAAGGCCAAAGTCATTGCGAGATTCTCCTCTAATCTAAATTTTTACCAAAAGATTTTATCTCAAACAAAGAACTTTTTAATCTCAGATTTTATGACTCAAATCTGTCAAAAACTCAGATAGATTAACTAAGATATACAAAGACGGTATTCCGTTTAGGATCAGTGTGTTTTTCATAAATACATCCTTATATCCCATAGCTAGATTTCGACAAAACATCATGTCGGAAAGTATTCTTCCTGAAAAAGATAAATCATAGCTTTGAACTTTATAAGTCTGTAATTGGAATGACAATAGATGTATCGGAGATAATGATTTCTTTGGATGTGACTTCTTTCTTCATAAATATACCATTAGAAACTCGCAATAGACAGCGTTATAAAAAGATGGAACTCTTTGGGTTTGTACTATTTTAAAAATTCGCACGTGACTGTACTAATGCATGCATCCGTGCGTACAAGAGATCGGCGCTGGCGCTTCAGTCACGCTAATTGGCAACCAAGGCGGCACTGCCGCTATAGATCCTTTTTATGTCCGTAAATGCAGCGTTCTTTCGCCATTAATTCGTTGTAGTTTTGGAAGTTCATACGTGCATATGCGTACGTGAATAAGTGAAAAGGAGACATCCTTTCGAAAGAAAGCTGTGTTGGATAGCGGCCAGAGAGGCAAGGTGCATCCTCGGATCAATTGTCTGTGTCAACTGGCATAGGAATATAAGGCTTGATGGTCGACGATCCGAATCCCGGTGCACGGGTCAGCCATTGTTGTGTACTGTTACGTGCCATGTAACAATTGTTTCACGTTTTTAACATAAAGTATTTCTACACATTTTTTCCTAAACATTCCTAATAAATCTTGTTTTTTGTTACTTTTCTTATTTTCTTTGATTTATCATTTTTAGCTCTTTTTTATCTACTCTTTAGACCCGTCTCGAATATTC